CACGATAAAGTCTATGTCGAAGTAACCACATGACAACATTTACTGAATTGTTATGCTAAAGACATCGTTTCAATAAAATTAATATTTCTTTTCTAAGCTATATTTATCGATTCTTTATATTATTTGATTAGTTATCGCATGAGGTAAACTTCTGACAAAATTGATTCGACAGCAATTTGTAAAATTAATCCAAGTATTTTTTTAAACTTTTATAACTAATATTATTAATTGGAGATCGGAATAATATGGATATTTAATGCAAAAATAAAATAATTCATCCTTAAATTTAGGTAGCATCCCAAATGACACTCGCGAAGCTCGCCATATTGAAATATGAAATCTTGATTATATCGTCAGTCGTCATTCCTTACAAATAGATCATTCATGTATAACTCAGTTGATTTAGATAATTCGCGATAACTCGCATTTTCTTTCTCTTTCTGTGAGTCAGTGATAGTGTCGACGATAATTAGCGGAAATTACAGTACTCGTATATTATCACAGGAATTTTCGCGCAGCATTTCATAATGGATCACAAATTGTGTTTTAGATCTTACGACGTGTATGGTAGATCATAGATCCTTTACAAAGGATCATCGATAGATCGACTTGCAGACTCATTCATTATTTTCCGATTGCATATTCACACATCTTAGGTTCTCGTTGCTCGTATTCTCTCCAAAGCAGCAACCATATTCATTAATACATATTAAGAGAAATATTGTCTCTCTCTTGGCGCAACGAAAGAATATAAATTTTACCTTCGTGACACGGTACAAAATATTACATCCTATATGTATGAGAACTTTTCCATAAAGATACACTTATGTACTTTGTAAGTCTTATGTATTTATTGTTGCGATGTGTAAACATCATAGATTGTAGCAATATCCTTCTTAAAATTGGATATTATACAAAGCTAATCTAACATGATTTTCTATTCATTCGCGTGTGTACATAAAAAATATCGCGATATAGTTCAATAAAAAATAAATTATGTAAAAAAGCTTTTAATATAATTTATTGATAAAATTACAGTCTAGGTTTCATGCTAATTCAATTTATACAATGTTTTCTGGGAGCTATAAAGCAAACGTTTAAATCAAGAGTGAGCGTTTCTCGCGGCCATGAATTTTGGGCGCAGTGTAAATTTATGTATTTCTAGCCACGTGTATTTCGCGATTGGCAGAATTGCGCGAATTACGTATGGGTTTATGAATCTCAAACTACGCATAGAATCTTCTCGAGGGTTTCCAGAATCCATGAATCCATGAATTTTCGAACTATAGGGCTTTGCCCGTCTGCCAATGTCCTCCGTTGAGAGAATACGAGCAACCACAGCATTGACGAATAAATCTCTCTCTCTCTCTCTCTCTCTTTTTCTTTTTACATATCTATTTATCTTTACCTTTATCTACTATCTATGACTGATTTTTTTGACGAAGGTAGACCGTAGTGCGCGAAATGGGTCGGAGGTGCAAAATGGATGCGCTTTATTCTTGCGATGATTTTTTTTCGACGCTTCTACTCAATTTGATAATAGAATAGGACTCGAGTGATAAACGATATATCACGCACACACGAATTCTCGAATGTACACAAGACGTTATACACAATATACAATCGATATTATATCATGAGGGACGATCAGTTCGCGAGGAGGACTTCCGGCTGAAATCGAATTTTACCTCGAAAAAACTTCGATAAAAAATATTTTACAATTTATCTCAAAAGTTTATTTTTTAATGTATAAAAATAGAAAAAATATTTCTGTTTTAGAACTTTAGATAAAATGTCCTATATATTATAATTATTTAAAAAAATTATCGCTTATTTTGCAATATTGCTCAATTTTTTTGTTAAATATAAATTAAAATACTATTATGATATTTTATTCCATTTATCATATTTTTATAGCGATATTCTTTATAGCGATATTTTTATAGCGAATTCAATTACAAGACAAGTTTTGATTATTAACGAAAATAATCCGCAATGAAGGTACGTTGTGTTGTTGTTTAAGTCGAACCGGTTGAATGTTTCAATGTTCTTTTATCCGACACAAGAATGAAGTTCTTCATTCCAGGGCCGAATGGCGTTAATCCGGCTTGAAAACGCTGGATCTCCATACGAATCGTCGTCCCTCTCTTGGCATTCTGGCATGCTTTCGCTTTTCGATTCGCTAATTCACGCGTTAACTATTCGTATGTCGTTCTCTGACTCTCTCTTTTTGCTTATGCTTTTTATATCTCGCACGAATGCGTTTGTACATTATACATGTCATATATGGCTTGAGTATTCGCACTAAATACTCTATCTTTTTTTTGCCGAGTATTCTGATTCCAGCAATAATTTTAAAGGGACATTATCTCTCCCAAGCTATTGCAGCTAAATTTGAATTAATTTATTTAGATACTGAAGATAGACGTTAGTATTAAAAGTAAAATAAGATGTTGATGTTTTTTTCCTTGCGATCAAATTAAAAAAATAAATTTTGTTATTTCTCAAATTTTCAACTGTTTTAGGAATGTTAAATATAGATACGAATTCCTAAATAATTTTGTTTCCAGAAAGTGTTGAATCAAAAATGTGTAAAATGTTCTTATTCCGATAGCAATTTCAATGAATCGATACACAGAACCAGAGAGTCGCAAATATTCGTTGACTTTTATGTGATAAAAATACATGCAAAAGATAAGGATTCGTTACTGGTCAGATGGCTACTTCTACTGCGCGAATTTCTGATCGATAACCTGAGAATAATTTCATTTTCATATCTCTAGCAGTTCCACTGCTTTTTCTTTCGTATCAATTTGTCTTCCTTATTAACTCATATCGTCAAACGAACGGACGGATTGATTACATTTGATATATCTTGAGAATCGCGCTTATTTAATTTTTAAAATATTAAAAATGTTGTTTCTATACATTGTTTTATATGTATGGAATACTAAGAGAAAGTTAAAAACATTAATTTATTAAACAGAAGCGTTTTATATTCCAAAATAAATGTCTATAAATAAAGTTTTTAGTAGTAAGTAATAAAAAGAGATTTATATAAGTTAATCTTTATTTTCTATTAAGTTCTTCTAAAATGAAGTAATGCTTAGTATTGTCTCGCGAAACTTGTCAACTTTTCGTTACAATTAGTCGGAAACGAAACCAAAGTTACTTTACACTTTTATGACGCATTTCATCTCTTTTTTCTTTTTAATTTCTTTTAATTTAAGTGCGTTTAAAACATAATTTTTATCACAAGTTGAATGAAATCGTTCTACAGTCCATATCACAATTTGTTCTTCATATCTTGAGCGTGTATTTTAACAACAAGACGATGTGGTAGAAGTCGCTAGTTAAATATTTGTTTCGCTGTACTGAATTGCATGCGTTTACACTCTGTCTTGCATTTTTTAATACTTTATTGACTCACTCAATCCTCGGAAAGTTTCCGAAGAGTTTAGTAAAAGGATACGCATTTGCTGCCTCCACACAAGATATCTATTTGTAAGTGACGCTTTCGTCAAGCACAGTTGTATGTACGTATGTATAGAATTCTGAAGGTATGATTCCATTAGATAAACGAAGTGGGATTATACTCGTTCCAATATTAAAATAAATTGACGCATCGATACAAGTCACGTGAATGAAAACAGTTTATCATAGCATGAACGCATTCACTCCAATGTTTGACTTTTGCGTTGAGTCTTTTTCTGTCTGTTTGTCTTGTCTGATTCGCTTCGTCTTCCTTTGGAATGGTTATTTCCATCATATCCAATCCAATGTACAATCCGATTATACATATATCTTGATTCTCAACGATCTTTAGCTATTTGATTACCACATTTTTGCGTTGTTCATAAATTTGTTCTACTCATTACTTTATTTTAATTTTTCTTAAGAATCCCTATAATACGTATTTGCAAAGTACGGCAAACACTTATTTTAATTCTGCATGTTGAAAACGTAAATAATGAATTATTTATTTATATAGTAATATTAAGGATAAATTTTACAATTGGTAACTAGGCTAAAATAATTAACGAATACAAATTAGAGTCGCACTTGTTAAAGCTAGAATTTGGAAGGAACATGAAATATATAATTGTAAAGAACTGTAAACAATATATGTTATATTCGAAAGATAGAATTTCTTTCTCATTTTCTTCTTTTATATCGTATATAAATAAAAAATATATATGTATAACATATGTAAATGTATACACGCGAATTTCTTCTTTGCGAGAGAAAATGTATATTCTCTTTTGTAAACTCGAAGGTTATGACGTATAAAAATATAAGGTATGAAATTGAATTACGGAAGATGTAGAAAAAAGATTGTACATAATCACATCGAAACGAAAATATATCGTTCGATCGACAATATAGAATCTTAAATGATCAAAAAATCGGTAATTATTCGTTACTACAACGTCAATTATTCTGGAACGAACGACCGATGAATTTGATTTTATTTCAATATGCACAAATTAACAACACAAATTACAGCAGTAGTAACTTGATTGCATTTTTTTTCAATAAACATTTATAGAAGAGATATTTGCTTACTTTGTCTGTCTCTACTTTTTTTAAGCGACAAGCTAGTTTCAGATTAACATTTGGCATCAAGCGAACTTGCCCTTTTTAACTGTCGCATTAAGAAGAGCTCTCGACGACGTTCCTTTCAAACTCGAGCTTTGTATTAGCTATATCGTGAAGCATATTTAAAATCGGGAAATGCTCTCAAGATCGTTTCGAGGTACACATCAGGCAACGCGGATCTAAATAAATACTCGAAATAAATCCTCCTTCTAATCCATATCCTCATTTCAAGATCGTTCCATTTTATGTGTACTCTCTATCTCGCTTTTTATCTTTTTTTCTCTTGTTCCTATCTTATAGTCTTTGATACTACTTTTGTTTTACTATCTCTTCCTCTCGTCATTTTTCTTTCGTTTTCACTTTCCCAATGTCGATTTACTGAAACGCTCTGCGCACTCCAGGTCGAAGCATTATCACGAAGAAGGGTGATGGCTCTCAAGTGAAGGAATCCACTGACAGCAGCACAACGATCGAAGACGATGATGTTAAAGGTAGGAGATCCCCATCCTTTTTATGTCTCTCTCTCTTTTTTTTTCATAATTACAAAACGCGTTGAATTTTTTTAACAGTGATTATTATAACGAATCAATTGTAGGCTATCAGTGCAAAAACGAGTGCTTAAAACGGTCGATCTTCACGATCGCGATTATAAGCGGACAAAGAATAGATAGAATCAGATAGTTTATTATGTTATATAAATATTCGAAATTTTTTTTACACGGATATTTATCGACTTTTATACGCAGAACACGCGAATAGCTTCTCATATGATATCGCCAACGACATTTTGGTGAGAAATCATTCGTGCAATTTCAGTTGTCGTAACGAGCACTTGTTTAAAGCCGGTTGGCATCTAGCTGTTAAAGCACGTCGCCGTTGTGCTCGAAAGCTTGGATTGAATTATGATAGCGATTCCGTCGCCATCGCGGCGGTATTGTCGTCACGCGAGTAGAATAATCGGTGATAGTCTCAATAACAATGGCTCGATATACAAGTTCTTAGTTCCCGGCAGCGATTCACGGCATATATCTCTTTACTGCGTGCTCGTTATGAGAATTTAATGAGAAACTTGACTACAGGCGGAGAAACTGCAGCTTGGTGTTCGCGACTTATCGTATAGTACCACGTAATATAAAGATCAACATTCCTCTTAAATTCGATGATATAGCTACTTGAAGATCTCATTTCTATCTATCGAGCTCTGTTGTACTCAAAGATCAAGTTGGATTTTGTGAAAATTTTATATTTCATTATTTATATTTAATTCGAATAGTATTATCTTGTGAAATTTAATTGAAAACAAAATTTAATTGAATTTCATCGGCTGGTATCAATAATGGAACTGTTAAAGATGCGTATGGCTGTCTGAAAAATGTCTGGGATGTTACAGAAAGGATATTCGACTCAACTGAATCAATTACTTTCCTGATCTTTTTTTTTTTGTTTGATGCAACGCATTAATGCCATGTTTATCGCAGTTACTGCGGGAGATTAATTTACATGGACGTTCTTATATATTGCGCATAAAAGTAAAAAGTACGCGCGCGTATCGATCTCTCATTAGAGATACTTCTCTCGTTCTCACGTGCAAGTCGATCGTTGGACGATAGCTCGAGTAGTTAAATATCCACTCGTTGCTTATCCTCTGGCTTATTCCTTTTCCACCCTGCGTACACCTGTGCTCCGATTATTGATACACTTGCGGTTATACCGCAAAGGTTCATGGAAAGGTTTAGGAACGTCAATTCCAAAGATGGTTTAAACTCTTATTTTTATTTGAAACAAAAGTTGATATAGTTAAATTACGAGAAATAATTGTAAATACTTGTAGATATTTGATATCATACTTGATTATACGTGAGAAAATGTTTGAGAAGGTTTAGTTATTTTTAATAATGTTTCATAGTGTGTTTGTGTCAGATTTTCGTTGAATGCTTTTCGAACCGATATGATTTAATTTTATTGGCACAACATCATGTCTGTGTGTGCTGATTCCTTTATTATATACCGTAAGGTGTACTCTCGGTCGCAGATCCTAGTTTGCCCCTTCCTCCTGATCCGTAGAAAAATCGATCTCGCCTTGATATTTCTCTTTGCCTCTGTAGATACTTTTGATTATACACTTGTCGATCGATCTCTTTCGTGTTTTATTTGTCTTCCGTCTGTCCGCGTTCGATCGCACGTGTACGTTCTTCAAAGTTCACCGAAGATATCCATACACAGCGAAAAGCAAGACAGTCAACATACAAATATAAGAAATTTAATTTGAGATATTTCTATAAAATTTACGCACGCGCGCACGCAGAAACCTTTATTTAAAATATTTAAATTGTATTTCAATCAGAGTAATGTTAATAATTTTATTAAACTTTATCAATTATGTTACTGTGTATTGCTTTTCCTTATAAGAGTATCTCATACTGACACGATACAATTAACACTTGTCAGTATTGTTTGAAATTTATAAAATAGCCGTATCTAGTAGTAAGCATTAACGCGAAGTATATTAAACATATTTTACATACCCTCATCATCGACCTAATATACACAGGTATTGAGTCTACCTAGTTTCTACGTTATCATCTTCGAATTTGTCTTCTCTCGTACGAGCTGTCTTTCAAGTTCCTGACTAACTCTGGTAGTCGATGTTTCTCGCAACTTCTCTATCGTGTGCGATGATGCCCTCCCTGTTCTGACACACTTTCTGACACATACACGCGTACGCAAAACACGTGACAGTGCATCCCAAAGCTATCTTCTCTCACTTTGCGAATACAATTCGTTGTACGCAAGTCAGGTGTAATCGATGGTTATTAAAATATGCTTTACAACGCGAATGTTGTTATGTTGCATGTTCACGAGAAATCATAATGTATCGTATAGACTAGAACTCGTTAAAATGGAAGGAAGTATTCAAATCACATTAAACAAGCGCGGAATGTCACATATATATAAGATCTGCACGTTTTAACGCGTTCCTCATATTTTTCTCAGTTGTAATTATGTCTGTAAACTTGAATTCGCGTTATTTTATTCGAAAATTTTGAAGTATCTTTATTTCGGTTTAATACTCATACCGCGTCGATATCGATCAGATATCATCCGTTCTTTTCTTTCGCGTATCCGAAGAAATTTTTGTCAGATTTTTCCCGTTCCTACATTCTCTAGCAAAGTAAAATTCCTTTAAGAGATTTCGATAGAAACATAGGATCGTACTCTCGAGACACATTCATCCGTTTCATATTACATTGGCATATAACGATCAAACACATTGAACAAACGAACTAATAAATTTTGATTTACGCAAATAACCAATTTAAGAGTGTATTGCATTTAAAAAATTTGAAAATTTTACATTTAAAAAATATGTATCCCGAAATTGAATATTTTGTACCTAATGTATAAAATAGTTTCCAGTTTATTATTAGCTGCGGTTTCAAAACAAAATGAATGAATGATAGTCCATTATTACTCGTAGATTATTAGATTACAGCTGTAATAATATTTCAACGAATAAATGAAATTTTGTGTTTTGCATATAGGGTGAGAAAGTACAATCCAAATTATCTTTGCATGAATCTGTATATCTCCTCTCCTATACGTCACAGCATATAATTTGCCGGATATCCAAGAACAACGTTCGCTTTCGAATTTTAAAACATTCTACACGCGACACGAAAAAACTCATTCCTCATCCCTGTCAGCGTCACGCGAATTCATATTTCTTACTTATAATTGACGTGTTATCGCGTTAACGTTTACGGAGAGATATAATAAATTAATTGATAGGTATTTATTTACTCGAACTTTCTTTTTTATTCATGCACAAAGATACTGGTTTTGATATCCAACTTTCATAATTTCGCTGGATATTTATATTGTCTAACAAATGCAATTTTGAATACACTTTGCATATACAAACTCGCGTGACCCTGTATTTTATGCGCGGCCGATGGTGTTGAAATATATTCACCAAAATAAACTAAAATGAAAGTGAATCGATGCCATCTGTTTTCCATGCTTTCATTCGAACACACATATACACGTCCGCACAAATCAGGTGGCTCTGTACTCGTGTCTGTCTCCCATAACAGATACCGTAAAGGCAAAGCACCAAGTATACAGCTGTGTGAGAGAAGTGATAACACTGTTGTTTTGTGCCCCAATAGCCGATGCTCACAAATCCATAACACATGTAGACGAATGACGTGCGCACGCGTATTATAACAGCAAATGAAAGAATGCACCGTATATTATTAGATTACAAACACCATAGACCGAGCGCAATTCTCTTCAAGACACGTTCATCATATCATTCGATAACGGAAATGTAATCATTGCGATTGCATTTGTTCACTCACACGCACGGATTACCGGACGTTACTGACGCTTAACTTCCAGAATTAGCTGGAAAACAAAGATTGAAGAACGCTCACGCGCGTAATATTTTGCGTCAAATATTTTTTTTTTTTCCCGAAAAGTCAAGTAGACGATGAATAAAGCACGAGTAATCAACGCTTTAATATAAACATCGTGTAACTCGTACACGTGGAGAGAGAGAACCATTGATCAACATTTAATTATTTAACATCTCATACATGGCGTATATCGTCTGGTAATCTCGCTCGTTTTTCTACTTGAAATAAAAACGGTCGATATTTCAAGGATCTGTGTAACAAGGGCGACGATAAAAAGAAATTAAATTAAATTATTAATCGATTAATCATTTTTCATTATATGTTCCAAGAGAAAAAATTACATACATATACTGTTATGTAGATTACATATAAATTGTAATGAAAATTATAAACACAACTAGCATTTAAGCAATTGGATATAATGCGTTATTCCAAGAAAAGGAAACAGTGAAGGCGTAAGTTGCTCTGGTTTACAGCAGATCCTGATTCTTCGCATTTACACAAATCGGGTCTAAAGTTCATTGATTTCGTGTCACTCACGCATCGGCTTCGTTACGCGCTTTAGTTATATATACGTCGTGATTATTCTTTTTTCGCCTACACCTTCTTTTCGGGAATAATTCACTGGCAATTTACGCGTGTACAACATGAATTAATTTATTTATAGGTGTATGTCGCGAAGTAAAAAATCTACCACTATCTGCAACCACCATTGTCATAAGTTCTCTTGTTAACGCAATGCATCTTTTTTTAGCGATTACCGCACAGGCGACCATTTTTAACAACGTAAGATGAACAGGCTCGATTATAATTAGACAACGCTTTCTCGTGATACAATCTAGTACAAAGAAATAATTGACGATTATGCAATTCAGTAGATGTAGTATTGTAAATTTTAACGCGTTTCTCTTTCTCACTTGTATTCTGATCGTACATGTAGTACATTGAAGAAAATGGATTCGTAGAATAGTCCAAGTAGCGATAGCTGCGACAAATTAATCTTGAACGGCTAAGTCTGTTTATTACGATGTGTGTGTGTGTGTGTGTGTGTGTGTGTGTGTGTGTTTCCTTTACATTAATCTTATTCAAGTCTTATTCAAATTTTGCTACATAAAACACTCGGATGAGCATAATCACAGGAAAACAAAGAGACAATTCGCGTAATAGCCTTTCAAGATTAATATTACAAGTAGTAATAGTAATACTTCAGCGTGTGTTAAGCCTCGGTAAACGAATTATAAGCACACAATTTATAATTATTAAAAACAGTTTTATTCTTACTCTTATTATTATTATTATTATTATTATTAATGTAATGTGAAATTAATGAACGCTAATTTCATGTGAACATATAAAGGATTTCTTTACAATTTAGACGAGCTGAAAGGGTTATAATTTCTTATAACGTAAGTCTACTACGCGTAATTACGGTGTATATTGTCACTCGGTATTATCACACTTTTCTCATAATAATCTCGATGTTTATCTCTCTATTCTCTTCTATTTTTATTCATTCTCGTTCGTGTTAATTTTTAACAGCCGATGACCACGAAACGCTCCGGCTCACGCTGCTTTCGCTTGCATTTTTTTTCAGCATATTCATCTTTTATCTTATTTAGAGCCGCAATTAGTATAGGAAAATTCTTAACTTTCCCGCTGTTATACTTTCTCACGGTTTATAATTATGCTTTAATTATCGAACGAAAGATGCTCGTTTTCGGCTCGCTTCTCAGGCTGTAAGAATTTTATTGTAATTTAGAAATTTGCAAATAACGAATCGGCCACAACCGGTTTCATTTATCGTTTACTTTAATATTATAAATTTATACGGTAGATTAAATTATATTAGCAGCGTAAGAGGAAAAAATTCGATTGTGAAAACTTTTGGAGCTTTTTAGGTAACATGTCACAATCATCACTTCCGCACGTTTATTAGATCTCATCTGACGTATTTGTGTTTCCTTATGCCCGCACACATACACATATACACGCCTCCTTGATGTTATATATTTTTTATTTCTCCTTTTTTGCTGCCACGTTTTGAATTATGTATTGTAACTCTTTGGTTAATTGGCTCTAATTTCGTCTCTTGGTTTTATTGTGTGAACTAGAGCGATAGAACAAAGATGTGACGAACTAACTATTATTATCAATAAAGAGAAAGCTAAAATGAATTTTATTGTTTGGATGTCGTGCGATTGATGTAAATGGAGGAAAAAATAATTGTTAGATGAAACGTATATGTACAGCCATTGAGTTGGCCTAAATATTTCTTAATTTTAAAAAATTTGCGGCGAGAAACAGCCAAAAATTTACGTGGCAGTGACAATTATTACAGATATAAAAGTCGTCATTTTAATGGATCATTATTTCAACGAACTCTACAGAGGAAAAAGTATAATCGAGTGTTTCATATCGAATGGAATTATGCAAACCATTGAACAAATGAGTAAAGATTTACCAATGGATAAAATTATTGATTTTATCGTTAAAATTTAACATTGCAGAATTTTATTATATTCAAAAGCTCAGATTATCCTATTATAATATTATCTATAGCAATTTAAAGAATTCCATTTCATTGAATGATTGGTATTATTTATGTAAATTGACCACTCGGATTGCATTGTTTGTAGTTACAGCAAAACTAATCACACAGATCAGTATAAAATTAATTTTGGACGATTCAGTAGCAAATAACGGAGAGTAAATAACAGATGCTCGGAATTCCATCCGATTATCACTTTATATACTTTTTTCTATGTGACTCTCCCACGTACACCGTTTGAGAAATGCGATCGTGCTCTCTACGATCGTATTCTTAAACGATTTTTTCACCTTCTTCAAACTCCTCGCATTATCACACGCCCTTATCTATACTTAGGTCATTATTACTATATCAAATTCAAAACCATACATACGTATGCAAACGCGCGCATATTTACACATACATACACACACATACACACACGCACACGCACGCACGCACGCACGCACGAACGCGCACGCACAAATAAACACATAACATGCTCTCTGTCGTCGTCACAAATCTCGACTCTCGATGTTTAGTCCAGTGTTATGGATTTATGAACACCAGTTATACTTTTGTCTTCTTTTTTTCCCTGGCGCTTGTCTCACTATTCCTGTCTTTTCGCTTTTGCCTCATTCTTTCTCTCCCACTCTTTTGTCACTCGCTTTGTCCACTTGGTCCGCCGACTGAACCATTCATCCACGCAACAGCCAACTCGGAATTGATTCCATTCACTTCCCTCACTTGGTTGCTTTTTTATGTGTTGATCCGATTTCTCGCATGTTTTCCGTCTATCGCACGCTTGCTCGCCATCGTACGGCTTTTTACAAAGTCTCGAATTGAATATCAAGAAGATTATAACATGAGGGAGGGAAAAAGAGAGGAATCACAATTTAATGTCATAGAAAAATTTTTTTAATGTAATTTTTATTACAGATTGAATGATTCGACATATAGATCAATTTGTTTTTTTTTTTACATTGATTAGTGAGACAAGATGATTATACGTAGATAGATCGAGAAGATTTGGCAGATTATTATGTTTGAAAAATTATGGAGAAACATAAAGTTTGATTCACATTGAGAAAATAAAACGATTGATTTATATCATATCATCGTACTTTTAAGCTTAAAAATTTTAATTTTTAATAATTTAAAATTTTATGGACCTGAATAATTTAAAACGCAGAATATTTTATACTTCTAAAATCTTATTAGTAAATTTTTATAGTAACTAGTAATTCTATCTAATAATTCTATTACAGTATTTCCAGTAATTTTTCTTTGCTAAATAATTGATCAAATATCGCGACCGAAGCATTGAAACCGTACGATCGGCTCGATCTGCACGCATTACAATTTCTTTTTTTACTTCCCTACTACTCGAGATACGATCGATACGTGTTTTTATCGACGTGTGCACGTTCTTAATGCAAAGTGTACTCTCCAGCACTATCCCGATTATCAATCGATTGTATTTCAATCTTTTTTTTCTATTTGGCGACCGTTCTTTTTTATATACATATAGTTCGATGGTAACGGTACCACTCGTCTTCATAGTTCCCATAAATGAAAAAAAAAAAAAAAGAAAAAGAGAATATCTTAATCATGATACGATCGTTACATTTTCGTCGGTCACAAACGATACTCTATTTCGTTACGCCCTCGTCGTCATTATATTAAGCATCATCACTTAATTTATGATAACGAGTGTTTTTTTTATTAGTAGCCATGGCATTGTACGAACGAAATCGATTGCCATTAATTTGCACGGTTAATAGTCGGCGCAAAGTAATGACCTCTTTCTTTATACCAGACAATTTTTCTTGTCATTACACGATGATTTTTTAATTATTAAATAGTAGATAATTGTATAGGTAATAAAAGCACGATGATATTATCGTAGATAATAGATCTTGCTATTGTTTATGAGAAACTGTTAACATGTCACGGGGGTGTAACGATATATATGTCTTTACTTTTGTACGGACGCTTTGAGATTTAAAGTGGTCAGCTGGAAATATCTACATGGAAATTTTGTACAAAGAAGACATAAAAGTGTATTATTGAGAGTTTGGTAAACTCGAGTAGAAATCCTTTTGGGATCGTCCCTTGACGATTCTTTACTGAGAGCGTTGCTCCTATATCGAAGAAATTTTGTATTTTGTGTTTTTATAATCAACGATGAAAGATTCAGATTTATTATTACTCTACACTGAATGTCTGTTTTATATATAATATATATATATAATTATTGTGCTATTAAATGGCAATATTTTACGTTTACTAATTACGTCGTTTCATATATCTGTCTGTGTTGCTTGGTAATCATTATTTATCATTAATAATATCGAATACACGATGAAAAATAAATGTTAATATCGTAGAATTTGGCCATTTACCACTACGTAAGAATCTAAGTTTAATTGGTGCAATTATCAAAGAAGACCCTCCATTTTGCCATAAAGCGAATACGTAGCAGAAAAATAAAGCTGATTTTTGTGTATCACTTCTAAATTTATAAATCTACTATCATCTATTACTATTTGTATATCTTATATTTACTTGTATAATGATGATTGATTTATTTATTTTCCTATAAATTTATTCACCGAATATTTCTATTATAATTCATTAATATCAATTATCAAATAAATTCTTTCTTTCTTAGCAACGTCAAGCTGAAAAATTTACTTTTGCGTGTGAAATGTTAACTAGAAAAAGAAGTGATTCGCATTTGTGAAGTTAATAATAAAATTTTTGTAACATTTGTTTGTTTTTAAGCTTCACTCTTCTACAATGTATTCTTTTGATAAGGAAGTGATATTTATGATTTATGTGTCAGTATTAGATAAATCAAGGGAAATAAGCTTAGTTTCTCATCATGACGACGTGGCTTTATCGATATTCCATATAAATATCTTAAGCGTTATGTAATGATATAAATTGTTCGTACATTTTTCGTATATCGTATACGTGATGTATGTGTGTATGTTGTACAGAGGATAAGAAGGGCGGCGTCGACCGGAGCAGCACGGTCATTGCCAAAGAACCCGAAGGTAAAACCAATTTTCGAGACGAGATATATACGTATAACGTATCTATTGTGCATTACTTTGTAAACGTCGCGCGATTGCACTGGCCTCTCCCATCCGCGCTTAATTGATTTTGATTTTACGATACTATAATTATCATTGTAATTTTTATCTTATTACATACATATATACAATGTTCGCGTAATGTTCTTGTTTATATAATATTGACGAACTTTTTCATCATGTTTTTATCAAGACAAACGCAATTGTATATTATCACACATCGGGGACGAATGTTTCTTTTTCTACATAGATAAAATTCGTAAAATATTCTCGTGATATATTTCATGCATTATCAAACCCACTTTATCCAAGCGAACATGTGGAAAGATAATCCTACTTTGTCGCAGTTGACATGTTTCTGAGTAATAATCGATGAAGTCGTATACGCATAAGTTCAAAATGCGCAAAACGAAAATTATCTTTGTTTTGCTGATAGACGGACACTTGTTCTTGTTATTTACAAAAAATTTTTTTTATAATTCAAAGTGATATTAAAGGACTATGTTTAATCTGATTTAAAGCCCTTAAACTTACTTTGCTGTAAGTACATTTACATTAAACTAATTGCATACAAAATTTAGAAAAATGGCATTTTACATGATCGCTTGGGTTCTAGTAAATATCACGTGTTAACACGACTCTACCGAGATTTTTTTAAATCGAATGGTGTGATCTCTTGAACGTGCACATTATCGTAAATGTTTAACCTCTTCAATAAAGAGGAATTTATGAAAGAACGTCATTTCTTTGCGTCTACAGCAGGCCTGTCCAATTTGAGCTCCGGAGCCAAAACGCAAAGCCATCGACGTAAAAAAATCAATATGAGTAAGATTTCGAAGATTGTAAAGTGATACGCATCCGAGCGACGCTTATCAACACTTTACAGTGAAATCTTATTCACATTGATTCTTTTTGCGTCGATGGCTTTGCGTTTTGGCTCCGGAGCTCAAATTGTACAGGCCTGGTCTACAGAAACGATTGGTTTCCTGAACGTTCATAAATGGAACGTTCAGCCATGATATGTGAAACTATCTCAATGCAATATCCATAATTAGCAGCGAGATATTGACAGAGAAAGGATAATTAAAATATCATCACGGTTGGGAGAAGGCCAATTTCATGAGAGGCTCCGTGTCCAGTTTCGAGCCCGAGCTTTTGCACCCTTTCTGTTGCCGCTTCTGCGAAATTGTATAGCGGATTTACCGTCTCTCCTTTCGTCTCGTCAACTAACATTCTGGATAACTTCGTCTCTTTCTTGCTTTCTTTTTCCTCTTATGTACGTGTGAGTTCCCCTTCTAATCAATTTAAAATTAATCCCATAGTTAATCTAAACTGAGGATCCTCCTGAGCCCTCTCTCGATACGCTTCACAACAGCGAAATTCATAGCATCTCATAGTTAATGCGAGTGTAGTTAGAGATTATGTATATTGTTTGATGAATCATTGTGATTGAGACATCGATCAAACTGATCATCGAATCCCACGAAATGCGTTACGTGCGGAACGACGTATCCTTTGAAATAGTTTATTTAAATGTCTGTGTCTAATTGGATTGTGATTATGCGACAATTAATTTATTCCAGTGTTCCACACATATTACTACTACTAATTTCACAATTACTGTAACTCTCCTAATTTTTTCTAGCTTATAATCAAAAGAATATAAATCGTAAAGCAAAGAAAGATCCCTTTGGAAAAAAGAGAATATAAAAATATACGTAATATTTTTTACTTTACCTATAATTGTTCTTACATCTCTGTAGTTATAAATTACGTGTATTTAAATTTGATTGTTTTTCTTCTTTTATAGAAGAATCTTATCTATAATCAAAGCGCGTAAACAAGTTGTGTCATTGATATTTATAATTGCAATTAAATAGAATAGAAATAAAAATTCAGATAAAATAAAAACTAGATATAATAAAACAATCAGCTATTAACAATCAGTATTAACAATAATTGTCGATGTTTTACGGGCATATAAATGTATATAATGAAGTCTTTGCCGGCAAATTAGTTACAACTATGTCATAATGAGAGCGGCATGAAGGCGGCGCTACAGTGCACAGTGGTAATTAACTCGAAAGTTATAATTAACTCGATTTATAATTCAAACTTACTAACGCAGGGAGTTTACTCAAGTGTAAGCTCAACGTGGATAGTTTAAGCCTATGTAAAATTAACCACGCAGTAAATACAAAGCTGGGCTTGATCTGTAAATCGTTGCAACGATAATTATCATCTTATTTCTATCAATATGCAATAATTAATATTTCACACGTCTACTTCGATCAATAATATAAGAAAAAAAAAATACATAGGCAATTCATTATTAGCGTAGAGATATTATTTCCAAAATATATTATACATATCTTGATTTCTCTGCACTTGAAAATTTACACTGCATTATGTAACCTTTTTCACATAATACGAGGCTGTTGTTTCGAAATTTCGTTTTTGTTGTCAAAGAACTCAAGAGAAATTTTGACTAGTTACTAACAATGTACACGTATACGCATTGTTTCTCTTTTTTCATCTAGTCAGTGAATTTCCCACGGAAAGCGTCGCGATTCCGCTCCGCCTCGCGCGCTCTTCAGACGTACTGTCAACAAAAATACCTGGCCGCTTGGCATTACTTGAAAATAGATCGGCAGCGGTTCAAAACATCGTTGTACGTACGTTCGACTCACCTCGCAAGTGAATTTGAGTCGCACTCGACAAGCTGGCCTCTGTCAATTTTGAGTGTCGGTTATTTTACAAATATTTTCCGGTGTTACCAAAGAGATTTAAGTACTTTCGTCTCCTTGCAAAAAAATAATTTTTACATTTGATATCGTGCCACTATTATAGTATGATTTAGTTCTGAAAAATTATCGCGCAGAACATAATTGTGATGGCTAATACCATACCCAGTTCGTCCAAATACACAGAAAATTACGGTGAGTTTCTGGCGGGTTTTGTTCTTCCTTGTAATTCTGTTATGTATATGTATATATTTATATTCATTTCGCACAATTATATTTTACTTTTATATTAGCTTGTTTGTTTAATTCAGGAAATTGACAGTAAAAATAACTTCTCGACGTAAAATTTTTTCTTTAGAATTTATTCTGGAATATTTAATAAAAATAGCCACTTCTGTAAATACTATTTATTTTTTAGAATAAATATCGAACTTAATTTTATTATAATTGCAGTAATTTTTCATTATGTTAACCTAAATATCTTTAGTGTATTTTGAGCTCGTTTTGTGGATTATATTTATCAATCTTTCATCAATTAAATATTAAATTGATTTCTGTTAGGAAACAAGTATCGATTTGAAAGAGATTTAACTTTAAATATAATATCTTCCCTTGAATTAAACTTTTATCAGTCATCTTGAAAATAAATTTACACTTATCTTTAAATCTTGAATAATTGATTCTTTAGCAACTACATAATTAAGAAAAAGTCTATTCTGAATAGCTAAAGAATTAATATTAACAAAATACGAGAATCTTATGCGGAAATGTTTTGTATACTGATCGTTACTGTTCTACATTAATCGCGAACTGCCTGTAACAGTATCTTATGCAAAATGAACTTTCGTTGTGGCTAAACGTTACATATAGTCGGATTATATATGCACGATTGCATATATAAACGCACTTCTAAGTTTCTATTTCAAGAATAAATCTTGTCTAGGACGTACGAGCGAAAATTTGCGCGGAATCATTCATTATTCTCATGCCATTTGTACAAGGTCATGGCTGTACGCAAATAATTGACGCCGTTCATTTCTCTCTCTTTTTCCCTATAATTTTTTTCTTTAATTCTTTTAACAAATTTTTTTAATTAATTCTGCTAACATTTCCCTATTTTGCCAATTCTATGTTTCTGTCTGGTTCTGAAGAATTTCTCGGCAACTAATTCTAACATATGTTTGCCAGACTAATGTTGCTCGATAATGCTACATGTTAATCTGCTTACAATTAACACAAATTAGCTCGATAATAACATTATACGACTTGATCTAATTAGTGGAGTGTAGCTTCATGACTTCACGTTGTTTCGAACGCGCCCTTCGTAATAATTGATCGATACTCAAGGTTTACTTTCTTCTGTACATATTTCTTTCTTCGCGCATCATTCTTGATATCATCAAGATTCAAATAATTCGTAAATGGCGCGTTGCGACAACAGTCGCTTCGCAGAATTTGCTTCTTGCCTTTTGCGCTTTGTGATCATTTCCGTTTTTCACCCGTGTTGTTACTGATTGGTGCGCCCCTCAAAAAAAATCTCTCTCCAAAACAAAAGCTCTTGGCCCATCAAGGTACACCTTCGAGCAGCCCCGCGACAATGTCCGCGTTCTCCAGGATGGTCGGCGCGGCCACAACCGTGGCGAACAAACAGGCCCCGAATCAGAACCAGACCCAGATTCAGGCCCAGGTCCAAGCCCAAGCCCAGATTCAGAATACGGGCAACCCTCTTGGAATTGCCGCGGTTCTTCTTCAAGGGGCCCAAGGTAAATTCAGAATTTTGATTCGATACTGCAATGAAATGCAGAGTAAATCGGGTCTTCATTATCTTACTTTTTAATCCTTTGCGGCTCTACACTGTCAAGAAATTTTTAAAAAATTATTCTCGAGATAAAAATTTAGGATGATTGTAAGTTTAAACTTTATGAATAACAGTAGGTATTTATAGAATCTAAATTATTTTTTAAGTCTACGAATTTAAAGACAAATCTCTCTCGATGTCTTTGGATCTCACTATACTTATAGATTTTAAGTTCATTTAAAAGTTAGTGAAATTATTCTTAAATGCACTGAAAGAAAAGTACAGCGGTAAGAATCGTTCACTAATAAGTAAATAACCTTTTATTCATCCACGAAAATGTCGAATTCATTTAGTTTTTATTACGATTGCTATTGATTACGTCAGACGGAGGCAATGAATGCGAATTGGCGAAGAAAAGTAAAACATGGGATTGCAACGATATTTTTGTTAAAAGTTTCGAATATTTGCCGTTGTCGAAATATATTTGTTCGAAATGTTTTGCAACCGAAATGTGTTTCAGAAAGGTTATCGCGAATTCCGATAGTCTGATCTTCCGGATGCGAAACTTTTAAAAATTGACTATTTTTTCATTTCAATATGAGAAAATATTCTCCTGTTATATAAATCGTATATTTTTTTAATTCAAACTTTCAATCTCACGTGTGAAATAATGACTGAGAGAATGATGTACTTGAAGAGGTGACAATTAAGTCTGTTGAAATGCAAATAGCATTTAATCGAATTATAAATTTGCCTTACATTTTTATAATTGAATTTATCAAATCGTGATCATTAGAATAAGATATAGTCATGGTAGCTTTTGTCAACATCTCTTTACCGTATTCAAGAATTATTTCACCACACAAAACTTTCGTCAACCGACATTTTGCAGAATTTTTCAATGATCTATCTTTATACTCGATATCAAAGAATCACCTGCCGCATTGTGATCTAAATGAAAATAGAGAAAAAATCAGAGAATAAATAAGTTTATCTCAGAATTGTAGATTAAAAAAAGCATTAATATGGGTGTATTAATTATAAATTGTATTATATAAATCAAATAGGTATTATCAATTGCTGCTTGTGCTCGAATTGTTTGATTTTTCAAATCATGGAAGTAAATCTTCACGAACTCATTCCACAGAACAATTGTTACTTGATGTCATAGTCTCTCTCTCTCTCTCTCTCTCTCTCTCTCCCCCCCCTCTCTTCCTATCATCCCTCTCTCCTTCTTTCTTTCTCTCTTTCTCTCGTGTCGCAGGATGAGAAATAGGCACATACACTGGAAGGAGATGCTAAAGCGCAACTAACAGCAATCTGATCGACGAATCGGTAAGATTACCGAAGCCGGATGACCCATTTCTGCTTCCACGCTTTATCGAGATTCTTTATAGAGAGCACATATAGACACACGTGTGTATGTGTGTGTACGTATATACCTATATGTTTTATATGTCTATATAGCCGATGCGCATAGCAATAATTTGTTAAATGAGGACGAAGCAGGAATCGGTCTAGTCGTTTCTGCTTTAAAAAGCCGCAGCATGTTGATTTGAAATTTATTATAAACAAATTTTTTTTATCACATAATGTATACTTAGGTCACAAGATTCGTTACTATATATGTTTCTTGCTCCTCTTGCATTATTTGTCTTTTATCGTTCACGCTTTCTCACGCCTTTTAATTTTATCCGATAACTTGTTCGTTCTTTTCGCGTTTGTCATATATTCACGTTACACGTTCACTCACGCACTCGTTGATTTTTTTTTAGACATTAAATAATATCCTCAGCAGACGATCCTTCCGTAAGAGGCGCGATGGAAACTGGAGAAAAGCGAACCTTTCTCTTTATTGTCGTTTCTTTTTGCGTCTCTCCTCAATTTCTCCTTGACTGTTTACATACGTAGACAATACTGTTTGACAAATCGATTCATCCCATCGATTGATTGGACGATCATTCGACGATCATTCGACGATTTCTCCTTACATTTTCCAAGTTTCACCTCTCTCCGTCAAACAAGACTCACACAGGTATAAATATGTATACGGATTCTCACGCTTTTCCGTCTCGCTCTTGCGGCGATATCGATGGCTTCTCTTGCTCTTTCGTCGAATCTTTATTATTTACGGATTCGAGCGTCGGGAATAGACGACGCGATGATCGATCGCGTTTTACACCATCTTGCTAGCTACGTTCGTTCCCGTTAAGTTCTGCAAGTGGAATGGATCTGACAAGCAAATAGAAATAGACAAACTGCAACGACATAAACGACATAAATAGTGACGTTGACACTAATATCAGTACATTAGATGCAACAAATTTATCAAATAAAATGATTTTCTTTCATAGAAAGAGAAAGTCGACTATTATACACTTGCAATTGAAATTTTTTATTAATACATATTGCTGAAAGCATATTTTATTACTACGCGTCACGCGCCTAATATTTTCTAACTACGATTTGTAATAATTTTTTTTATTATAAGTTACAAAATTATTTGTCATTCCGAAATAAATCTTCGTCTGTTTTGTTTTAAATTATTATGTAAATTATTCTATAAAAAGTTGTAAATCTTTGATGAGAATTCTGGATTATAACTTAGTTAATTTAAAATTGATTAAAAAATTTATCCAAAAAGATTCTAAATTAAACGCTTTTGACAATCGACAATCTTAAAATGTACGAAAACAATGAAAATATTGTACGCGTAGAGAGTTTCGAGATAGCCTGTGTATTGTGATTTCTTGTATTTTATCATTGAAAATAAATCGAGAATCCGCGAAAGACGGGGAGCAGTCGATCTCTAATTCGCCGGTCTAGAGAGAGTCGGACGCGCGATTACACGATTACGCGATGCGACGAGACGCGAATTCGACGCGACGTGCAATGGCTTCTTTGACGTTGACACTAGCTCGTGTTTGGTTGGTTGATTGCATGACTAGCTGGCAGCGCAGGAAGCGGCAGCAGCAGCGGTAGCAGCAACAACAGCCAGAACAGCCAAGTCGGCGCGTCGCCATCGTCACCGGCCAGTACCAGCCATCAGGCGAATGGTAGCAACGAGCCGATAGCATCGCGACGCCAGGATTCCTCGCCCACCGGTCTGTAGCACGACTAATCTGGCACGTTTCCTTCTATCTTGATACTCTTCCCTTCTTCCTAGAGGGTGGAAACGATCTCTTAACTCGTTTTCGAGCATCGCTGCATGCTATAGAAATTCAATCAGTTATTTTTGATCGTCATTATTGCGTATATATATCTATTGATGTTGCCTATCAAATTGTCAAAGCATCGATTTTCCGTTTATTTTTAGTCCGCCGTTCGGATTCCTTTGTCAATTCTTATTCAATTCTTATTAAGTTTGTAAGATCGATTAATGATCGACGATTAGTTGCTTCTTTTTATTGAATTTCTCGGTCGATCAAGATTCATGTGAATTTTTATAATGACTGTTATACAGATATTCGTCATAGCATATAGGTTTGCATAGTTGCTGTAAATAGCGATAAGGTAACGCTGAGCGAAATCGGAGAATATGATCGCATAGAATATTTACGAGACAACTAGACAGAAGTATTATCCGAAAACCACACATTCATTTACACCGTCTATAAATAATCGGTATTAATGTTTGCTATGATTTATGGAAAACGATTCGGTTATGTTTTCTCTACGCTTACGAATAAAGCGAAATGAATGTGCAAAAATAATGGGATTAATTACAGCTATCGGCCCGTTTGGTCAGCAAGCCCAATTTATGATCAATGCAATAAACAACGTTATAGTAAATAAACGTGAACACAAATACATTTGATAGGATCGATATAAACGAAAAGCTGTTAATTAATAAGTGAAATGCGCTTAGAAGTCATTTTTATCGCCGTGCTCCAATATCTTTTATCTTTTCTACTTTGCTTGCGACACAGATACATACTGTACGCAAGTAATAATTACTTGTTTCAAGTATTTCAAAAATTTATATATCCACAAATCTATTATAAAAGTTTAACACAAACATCAAATTTATTCAAAATATATTCTGAGTGGTAAGTTTAATACTTCAATTAAGATTATTAAATTAAAACAAATTCAATTTGTTTATTATATAAAGTCGCTTCTTCGATCAATTTTATAATATTCATCAGAAGAAAATAAATTCTTGTTTTTATTAGATACATAATAGTGAGTTTTCCTAAAATTTATGATAAGTACATTTTAAGATTACTGTCATGAAAATATTCTTTGTTAAAAATAATCATTAAACTTAAAAGGAAGAAAGCAAATTGAATAACCATTTTTCTTAGCAATAGAATGATATTTTTCTGTGTGCAAAATTATTTTAAGCTTATTGTTAATGAAATCTCGCTATGTGTTGGAAGATATTGTTAAAGAATAGTAAACAAAATTTGTAACCGCACGTATTTCCATTTTCGTAATGGGTCGCTTGTTGGATATAAATAAATGTTAAACAGAAGATATCGATGACATGTATTCAATTCATGTAATATATTTTTTTGCGAAGCTCGGGTTTTATTAACTAATAAAAAAAAGAACATAAAAACGTAATTCGGAACGTAATATCGAGAAAATTTCTGAGCACCGTCAACGCACATAAATTTATGTTCTCCACCCTCTATCCTTCTTACTCGCAATCGAGACTTATCCTGGTTACTATTGAGCCGATACCTCGGAAGCTCAATTTAATCTGACAGAGAAGCTTCTCTCGTCTTCTGAGATATTATCAGACGAGGGATATCACCTTGACCGCCATTATGTCAATTAACTGTCTCCTGCGTGATCCAGACAATTGACATTAATGCGATTACCAACGTTGATACTTAAATAGCGTGCTCAATGAGATTAATGCACACAAACGTGCGCAATTGATAGTTTTGAATACCGCATTATGAATAGCGAATTTAGGAAATGAAATTAGAGTTTGCACTAAATCCCAGAGGAGAGGTTGAAACGGATATTCTCATTGGATACAATATAATTCAAAACAATAAAATTCAAAAGAACGATTGTGATCTATGAGGATTTAGTATCACATTTGATTTATCCAAAATTCTCTTTGTTTAGATATATCTCTATTTAAATATCGTTTTTTTTATATAGTTATAAACTTCATGTATAACTTTATATCTTGGCATCCCCAATTAATCAAAACTCCCTCAAATGTAATTATCAACAAAGCTTCGAGTTATCGGCACTCTTCTTTCGCGCGAACGGCATTGAGTTATCAATTTGTTTTTGTTAGTTTGTGTCTCTGTGTGTTTCTGCATGCTGCACATGTTTCGCGTACCGCCTTATGATCGCGCACCCTTGTGTGCGCCTGCATGCACCTATTCCGCAAAAAAAAAAAACGTGCAGAATGGGAAGCACGACGGATGAACGATGCCGACGGACACGCATTCCGGATAGGCTGCGTCCTCGAGGATTCCGAAGACGGTAAGAAAACCGTTGACGCCCATAAGCTCGGGATAAATGCGAGGGAGAGGAACACGCAGCAACCACCATGTTGGAGCTCCACGTCTTGTAGTTTGCTTTAAAACTCATGTAAACCGCCTCGTATACTTCCTTAATTAAATATTTTCATAGCGGACAATATTAAAAAGAATAAAAAGAAGAGTATTTAAATCGTATCGTAAACAAAAAGATTTTAAGATTAGAAGAATTTAGCAAAATGACGTGTTTAAATAAATAGAAAAAATGTAACGATAATTTTATTTTTTAATTAATAGGCTATGTTGTTTTTATCAAACCTTTTATGTATGACTAGATAACTAATTTTTTAGGAGAAATAAAAATCAAATTTTATAAAATATCTCGCCATCGCATTTATTAGATGCATTCAGTAGGCTACAACCGTTCTCTGAGTGTTCAGTGAGCTCTTGCACCTGTTTGATTTAATATTTTTAGATCTAACGGAATATGCCAATTAGATGTAAAAGCTCACTAAACACAGTGAACAGTTATAATACTGAATGCCCTCATTGACTAAGTCAAAAGGTAATTTTTTCTACGTGGAGGGAATTCAATTTTTTTTCTTTAGTTTTTCGATTTCGTTGCATATGAGATTTTATAACAACAAAGGTAATACTTAGAAGTCATATCCATTTTTTTAACTGATGCATTTCTATGCATCAGTTAAAAAAATGGACGTTTGACCTCTAAATCTTAACGGAAATCCTAACGAGAAAATTAAAGGATAACTAAAATTAATAGTTTAATCATTTTTTTACAATAATTTTTTATTAATTCTTACAATTTCTACAACGACAATTTACAATTCTCATCTAATTGTATAAATTCAATCTGATTATCTGATATCGATATCACGATAGATATCTAAATCTCAGATTATTATTCATTATCATGTTAATGAGTAGATTAAATTTTCTTGATTATGTTTTATCGTATTCATCATATATTCAATGTAACACTGTCTCTGTGTATTGCAAGTAAATAGTAAGTAACTCAGACTGACTAAACCGTCTGCACACACACATATGTATATATAGTATACCCTATCTATCTGATTTGATTGCCGTCGATTAGTTTCTAGAATTTATATTAGAACAAATTTACATTGCGCGAATTGTTTATTATCGGTCGAAATAAAATTTCAGAATTGTAAGATTGGTTTACATCACAATGGGATTTTGATATTTATATCGTTATTCACGAAAAATTATCTCGATCGAATCTCTTGATTCGTTGTTAAATAAATATACATTTTACGATATTTTTCATGTAAATTAAAAAAAAATTCTTTTCTAAATGTACGTTCGCTTTAATAATTGAAAAGTGTGATATTCGCAGGTTCACATTCGCTTTTTAGTAATGGATAATTTTTAATCTGAAGTAATGGTGACTTCTAATAGGTAATAGGCCTATCTATCACTAACACGTAATATATATATATATATAAAACAAGTTGGAAACTAACTAACCCGATGCTCCAATATTCGTTGGAGTTGAATCGCAGCAAATACTGACTCTAATCCATGAGCCGCAAGTAACGTGGTTAAGATTCTCTGGGCGCACACGATCGAAACCTCTTACCGATTTATCTCGACTTTGTAAATGTCTCGCGGTTGTCGTTTATACAGTTTGCGTTCGCATGCACGCATACTATTTAATCTGGATTCAATCGGAACATAGGAAATCGTGCTGAATCATAATAGAGGGGACAGGAGGATCCATTCGAATCCAAATGCCACGTTGCATCTAAAATGAAAAACGACAAATATGGAAAGCATATTTGCGTTTGTTAATACATGCATCATATATATATATATATATATATATATATGAAAATAGTGCTGCCAACATCGACCAGCGATAATATTCAAATAAAATTATCTAACATAATTAGCAAACTCGATTGGACGACGGAAACGGCAAACCAAGAGGAAGGCAAGAAAATGGATAATGATGAGAACTCTCGGGGGAGACGGTTAATCCTTTTAGACGATACCGCACGTGAGGATTAAGCTAATAGCTTTTGCATTTCGATAGAATTAAAAATTGAGAGATATTATATGCTAGACCTCCGTGAACATTTCGTGCTTACATGCTGTTATGCATGCTAATTATCATTTTCATTACTACAATCTTCAATAAAAGGACTAGAATAAATTTCTCTTGTATGAAATGAGTTACCATATTACATACATGTACAGATTATATTACATTGATAAATTATGTTAATAAGTTTAGTTATACACGTATATAAGTATATATAGAGAGAGAGTTAACGAGATTCTCTGTGTGTTACTCACAGAAACGGATACTTAAAAATATGAAGCAATTTGATATGGACGCTTAATCCTCTTCGTGTTTGTACAGCAGCTTGAGTATTGTCTTGAAAATATCCGTCTTGCCCATTTTTTAATACGAAAGGGATATATATATTGCTTGTAGACATAAGAATCGTGTGTCCTATCAAGACCTGCAGCCAGCTCTCAACCAACTCCCAGTGCTCAGGTAAAGTGCGAAATTACGTCGTATGTAAGCGACGAATCGACCAAGGAAAATCAAGTCGGAACGAATCGAGGAAGTACTTGTACTCTCTTCGACTTGTTTTGTTATTTAGAAGTTTTATTATTTAGAAGTTTACGAAAGAAAGCATGTTGTCAAAAAAAGGAGCTAAGACTGAATTGGACTTTAATTTTAATTAGTTTAAGAGTTTTAATATACTCTTTTTAGTATAACTAATAATTACAGGAATTACTTGTACTAATGAACTCATAAAGTGCTTTAGTTCTTCTTTAACGCAATGTGTTTTCTCTCTCCAGAAGCCTTATTGACTGATATCGCACGGTTTACAATATCAATACGAAATATGACCGCATGTCATAATTCGTATAATATAATATAATATATGTATATAAAAAAAAATTATATTTTCTATGATCTATACGAAAGATTATCAAGTGATAATAGTTTATTAAATAATAACGCAATGCAATTATTCTTGCGAGAAACATTATTTCTCGGGATTAGATTACGAAGAAAACTTGTTCTTAAAATCCCGATCGATCTTTTAGATTTCATATATTATGTCGAGAATGATAATTGATATTGAAAAAAATTCCGATTATTTAAAACATTTCTGTCGAGCGAATTCTACAATCCCACAACTATGCTTTATGCAGGTGCAAAGTGCCTACTGAGTATGAAATGAATAAAGTTTGCGTTACTCTCACGTAATCTACGTAATTGCTGCCACGTAATAGTAAAATATATAGAACTGCGGAAGAGGAGTGTGTTACGCTTAATACGACGATTAAATGTCTGAAGATAGATCGATCAGAGACCGTGGAATGGTGGACTTCGTAATAGAATACCGAAGTGCGGTAAAGTTTAATTAATTAGTTAGGACAGTAGCAGACATAGTAACGTAGTAAGATTGGCGGTTGTGTGATGGTGGTAGTGATATTCTACAAATCGTAGTACAATAATTCAAAGTAAAATTTTCCAATTTGTTTTTATTATTATTTTTCACCGTGACACCTCTCGTATCGTTACTTTGACGCAAGTCGCGTTTATTTCACGTAATCTAAAAATAATAATAATAATAAAAATAAAAAAATAAGACATCTAAGAATCACGCTGATTTGTTCCGATGTGAGGTCTTGAATTTATCTATCGAGAAAAACTGAAAATCAACGCAAAATTGATCGATCTCTAACAAATATATATTATACGAAATACAATTCCCGATGATTAAAAACGCGAAATAATAGCGTCTACTATATCTTTTGTGATCTCCGAACACTTTCCAAGTCTCTTCGTGGAACTTTGCTTCAACTGTTGAGGCATCTAAGGAATGATCACAATTTTCGTGTACATAATTGCCGGTCTATGACGTAAGTAACATATATCGACGAACGCATCGTTAAATGGTATATACAATCAAATATTAATTTATTATGATTCAAAGGCTATATGATCTTTAATTTGGATATCCATAATATAAAATAATTTTTATAAGAAATAATTTACAATAAATACAAAAAAATGCCCAGTGATCTCTTTTTTCGTAATCATTAATCATTAATCCAACGAATGGCCGTTCGCTCTTAAGGGAATGCTGGAGTGACCAAATTATCACATTACAGTCGTATAAAAATCTTCGA